TCGATTTTGGAGTTGATGAGGAGTATGCGAATTTCTCCAGTATAGTCCCTGTCGATTACTCCTGCTCCTACGTCGATTCCTTTGACTGCTAGTCCGCTTCTTGGTGCAATTCGTCCATAGGTTCCTTCAGGAACTTGAGCGCTTAGCCCTGTTTTGATAAGCATGCGAGATTGAGGTGGTATTATCTGGTCTTCGCTTGCATAGAGATCAAGTCCTGCGGCTTCCTCTGTTCCTCTAGTGGGTATTTGTCCTCCTTCTGAGATAGTGACCGCAAATTCTGTTTCTTCTCTAAGGAGTGCTGAGTCGTTGGATGGAAGAGCATTGATGCTTCTTCCTTCATTATCTGGTAATTCCTCGATTTCGCATTTTTGAATTCTTTTTGAGAAGTCTAAGGTGCCTTTGTTCCAGTTGATGGACGGGTTTCTTTCTTGTAACCAGTCCATGCCGAGGATGATGTCTTGTTTGCCTAATTGGGTAACTAACAACCTTTCTTTGGTAGGTTGGTTTCCCACGTTCATGTCGATTTCTACTTCGTTGCGAATGAACCCAAGTTTGCTCGGAGTTCCGTCGACATTGAATACTTTGATTGGTCTTTTTAAGGGTTTCTCTTGTAGTCCTAACTCCCGGACTGTTCTTCGATTGATGAATTTGCCTTGTGCTCCTGAGTCGACTAGTGCAAGGACTTTTCCAACGGTTTCTTTTGCTCTGATTTGGATGGGGATACGCATCGATTTTGATTGCATGTCGGCAATTAATACAGAGGAAATTGATATTCTAAGAGGCGTTGACGTTGGGGCAACCCTCAGACATGAAAATCCGGATTAGCTTCGAGATAACGGGCGAAGAGATCCTTAGCATCTTCTTGAGAGAGTTTGGTTACTTCTTTGACCAAATCTCTAGGTTCGTTGTCGAGATCAATGAGGTTGGGTTCCTCTCTGACCGTTGTAGTGCGGACATTGGTGGAATTTCCTTTATTCCATTGTCCTGATCTTTGGTTTGTCTGAGGACGGTTGCCTTGTTGTGAGCGATTGGATTGGTATCTTCCTTGCTGGTTGCGTTGCTGGGGTTTCTTGGGCGAAGGACAATTTCTGGCAATATGTCCCTTGCCTTCGCAATTGAAGCATCGTCCTTCTCGGCATGTTTGGTCTCGGGAGATGGCGTCGATGTCCATGGCATCGGGGTCGCGTTCCTGAGTTCTTCCTCCTCCTCCATTTCCTCTGGAGTGAGAGGTAGTTTTGTCGATCCTTCCCCTTTGTCTTCCTCGTCTGAGTTTGTCCCATTCTATTTCTGCGTTGTCCAGCTTGAGTGCTTCTTCTTGCCATCCTTGGAGTGTGGTTGGCTTCTTCTCTCGTTGGATGAGAGTCTTTGCAAGGACGGATTCGAGTCCTCCTGTATAGGTACATTGGAGGTAGGTGTCTGTGCTCGGGTTGTTGTACTTGGCTTCCTTGACGAGTCGGTTAAATTTGACGTTG